TTCTATGATTCTATGATTCTAAGTGATTCTCTCTCAACAAACTTGTCTATTGCTGGTTTGAGCAAAATGGACACAATTTTCTTTTAAGTGCAAAACAAAAAAAGTAGCTGCGCAGCTGTGGGTGTATATATATTTTTAAATAGAAGAAAAGGAAATAAAAAATGGAGGCAATGATAGCCTTGTTGCATATAATGGTGGGTAAGCTAGCCAAAGCCACAAACTTGATATTTACTGTACAGATTTCTTTTTAAAAGCTACATTTTCTAAGAGGTTCATTTTAACTGGATCATCTGCTTTTGATGATAGCTTTGAACCCATTTCAAAAAGTTAGTCATTGCCTTAGAGTAGGATCTTCAGAGAGGGTATACTTTAAGACCAACACGTAATGTTCAGTGAGGATGATCAAAGCAGCTGTTGCAGTCTTTATTTTATTTATAGTGCCCAAAGTGTCCTTCAAGTAAGTAGGAGAAAATGGAAAAATAGTCTTTGGACTTGTATCTTTGAAATGTATAGTTATTGAAGGCCAGGGATGGGCAGGTCAGGAGCTAAATGTAATTTGTTTGGCCACTTCACGTGACCATCACATTTTCCTGCCAGTTTTTAGGCATCATTTTAAAAGACCATTTTCCATCAAGAAGAGAAATGATCCAGTGCTAAATCTTCAAAAGTGTTCATGCTAAAATGTGCTCTTACATTTGAATATGCAAATATGTATAAATTGCGGTAGTTGTGTATCAAAATTAAACATGTACAAGTGCAATTTAGCACTTATACTTTTGGAGATTTTAGCTCAGGTCTTACTCATTTTTAGCAAAGAACCCTGTTGTGGAATCTGAAATACAAACCACTGTTTATTAAAGATTGAACCAAAATTATCACTAAGCCAATTAATCCAACTCGGTTAGAGAAAATCACAATTTGCAGACTGAACAAATCACTCATTATGAATTTTCCATCCCACCAGAGTTAAAGACTTCTCCGCTACATCACTTAAGGCTAATATTTTCCCTGTTGCCTTTGTCCTGTCCGATAACATGCATTTAAATATTATGAGTCAGTCTTCCATAGATACAGTTTAGTGATGTAACTCAGCTACTAAATTGGACCTTTCTCCTTTTCTTTATCTCTGTCTAGTTGCCTCATGCAATAGCTAGACTGAACTGTACCTGACTCTGGTTTAGGACTGTATGTAGAAGGCAAGGTCCCTGACCTGTCTCCAGGCATTTTACCTCTAGAGACCTCTCGGTCTATTGCCATAACGCCACCAAATTATTAAAGCTGACATGCTTTTCTTCCTCCAAGCTGTTGGAGGAGCTTCATTTAAATTAAAAGATATAAGAGCCTGCACTCTGCCATCCAAAAACTGACCAACAGTATTTGGACAGCACTAAACTTCTATTTCACTCTCTTGGCTGTCTGCTCTTAACTGCACAAATAGGTGACGGACAGAGCAAAGATCGGGGCTACTATTCCCGGGTGACTCTCTGATGACTAATTGCGAGGCAAGTCCTCAATCTGGACAGAAGGCAACATTATTGATTGGGATCCCCTAGACCAATGATTCTGAAACTTTTTGTATTGGCAACCCTACTAGTATATAGGCTTGTTTGTCAGCCTGAGATAGAATTTTGGGTTTGACTTTTTGATACTCTTATATCTTATACTAATATGTGTGAAGAACAATGAACAAAGACACTGTGGGTTGTTTTTTTCTTTAGCATTTCCCACAGCTTTTAGTACAATGAAAAAAGATAAGGTATAGAGCTAAAGTGTTCAGGGTATGGTGGGAGTGTAATGTATGAGCATACACTGGAAGGCTGCCTGGCTCCTCTCTCAAGCCAAGGTCAAGCAACCAGTTAGGAGGGTTAAGGGAGTTGGGGAGGAGGCATAAGACACCCTAAAAGACAAAGAAAGGCCTGGCCTTGGCCAGAACACAACCTCACTCCTTACCCCTCCCATGGGATACAAAAGAGGTGGGACGAAGACCCCAGACTCATGACCCTCCAGAACGGATCATAACCATAAGTTGAAGGGGTGTGACTAGGGCGTGCACTGCAGGTATATTTGGGCCTGCTGAGAAGGAGGAAGTGGGAATGGGGAATGGGGACACAGGCAAGGCTCTGCGGCGCCAGAGCAGGGAACGGAACACTGGGAAACAGGCTGTGCCAGCGTGTAGAGCAATGGATATGCTTGCTTGGAACTAACCCCAATAAACATTGCATTGCCTGCGCTTCAGACTTCTGGTTTTCTGCTTTCTGTCTGTGTGACAAGAACCAGGGCACGGGGTGAAGTGAAAGCCCTCTAATAACCCCTTTCAAACAGCGAGCCTGAGTGTGACCCCCACCCCTTATAAATTAAAAACACATTTTTTATATTTAACGCTATTTTAAATGCTAAATTTATAACCCTATTGTTTAAAACGAATTTACCTTTTCTCACGGTTTTTAAATTAAAACTAAAACACATTTTTATCGAATGATTGGTATAAGCAGATAAGTTATTTTTTAATATTTTAAAAGTGAAGACACTTTGTCAGTATCACTTTTCACAGCAGACATAGTGCCCATTGCCACTCTTACTTCTGTGCTGCTGCTGGCAGCGGCGCTGCCTTCAGAGCTGGGTGGCCAGAGAGTGGCACTACTGACTGGGGATCCAGCTCTGAAGGCAGTGCCGCTGCCAGCAGCAGTGCAGAAATAAGGATGGTAATGCTATGCCATCCCACCCTTACTCCCTGCATAACATTTGACCTTTGCATAGGGAGGGATGGCTACAGGGGGGTTAAGGTAAATTTTGGGGTGGCCCAGCGCTGCCCCACCAGTGTGTCTGACTGTTAAATTATAGATTGCTTCTTTTTTTCTGTGTGTGTGTGTGTGTGTGTGTGTGTGTGTGTGTGTGTGTGTGTGTGTGTGTGTGCGCGCGCGCACGCCAGTCTCAGTGTTTTGATTTGTCTGTGGACTAATGCAGCTCTTCAGCTGCTGAACAATCAAGCCTTCTAATGTTGTCTCAGTCCCAGCTTTTCAATCTCAAGACAACAAACCTGTGTGCACTAAACTACAATCCCCAGAGTTCAATTTCCTTAAAGTGGTGATAATACCAAATATATATTTTGTTTAGGAGCAAGGATCGCTGCATTATATGTTTACAACACTTTTTGAAGTAAATACACTACATTATAATGAAAAGGTGTGTGTGATTTTCTAAAATGCTAGATTTAAATTATATATTTATTTTAGCAGTTCTCTGTTTCATGCATGTGCTCGCGACCCCGATGTAATAACCTTGTGACCCCTCAAGGGGTCGCGACCCCCAGTTTGAGAACTCCTGCCCTAGACAAATGCATTGACAGCCACCTGAAAACATCCTAAAGCTTTTTTACACTGATCTAGCACTCTCTAACCACTTTCCATATACCACCAGAGACCTTACAAGAATGGTTTATAGAGCCCCCTCTCCTCATTGTAAGACTCCTCTGAGCATGCTCTGGAGGGTTCCACCTTGCTGGATATAGTACCTAAATAGTTAAATGGTAAACTCTGTGCAGCTGAATCTCCTATGTTACAGAACAAGTCCTATGTCTTGAACCTATTTATTTTCTGCTGCTTATCTACCTATAAGTCTGCTGATAATTTCTCCCCCATTGTACTTTAAGGTGAGTGCTCCTTCCTTTGAACTGACAGGAACGAAGTCTGGGGTGCATTAGCACTGCACCTGACAGACAGATAGTGGGTGGAAAAAGCTCAGGTATTCTAACAACACTGGTAATTCTACAGGCTACAGCACATAAACATAGCTCAACTGTAGGAAAAAATGCTGATTTAAACTTTGAATTGGAAGGTTGTAGTAGGAATTGCTCCACTTTGCTCTTGTGAATGATACCTATGGTTAACCTCGCTACTGTTTCCTAACTTACGTATCTCTTATGAAATGAAGGATGTCCTTTTAACTAAAGCTATAATAGACAAAGATTTTGTATTACAGTTACAATATCTTACAAAGGAAGATATCAGGCCATATTTTCAAACATGTATGTGCCCAGCTTATTGGTGTAAGTACTCAAAAGTGCAAATGGAGGGCTGTGCATACACATCAGTGTGTGCATGCAAAGCTCTAACTCTATGCGTGCACATCTCAGTACTTGCTTATATAGATTTAGTGTATGCAAATAGGGGGTGAATTTTTGCACACGCATGTCTGAAAATGTAGCACTATATGGCTCAGTATAAGGACTGCTCTCAGTTAAATTCATATAAAAATAGTCTGCCTGTGGATTCTGACCTGAAATTTCCTTTTTTCCAAGTAGAAAGAGGGAAGTAAATTGCAGTATATGTTTGCTCAGTCAACCTTATTCACGAAGTGAAGGACAGTCTTTTTGGACTAATCTGTTGTGACCAGATTTGACAAGACTTTAAACAGTTAACTGCACTTCCAAAAAGTGCTATCCTAATGTTTTCATTATCTATAAAATAAACTGTCCTTAAATAAAAGTTATTTGTGATATCATATACCTTACTTGTTTGTTTTGTGCATCATAGGTATCTGGATACAACATACCGTATAGACTATGTCCCTCCATATGATTATACGCCATATGTAAGTATATGGAGCAGAAAAGTCCTATTTTACAGTGATGTTTTACATGTAGCTTCATATCTAGAGCATTTAATTAACCTTGGGAAAAGAAGAGGCTGCTGAAATGTTGATTTGTTCATATTTGCATATAGCCATTAGCAGTATAACTGTGGGAGTCAGTAATGAAGTGAGACAGTTATAACAGCTATAATTTATTTTGGAGTTTATATACTACAGGGACACAGTTCTTAATTTGCCTATAACTTGCTAGCAAACTGTTTATTTAAGATTTCCCTCCACAGCTATTTTCTGTCCTTTCTTGGTTATCTACCACACAAGCTCAGTGTTTTGTGGAAAATAAGATATTTATAACTTTCTTTCCATCTTTGGTTAAACTTAATGATGCTTTAGCATGATAAAAGCTTAAAGAATTTATTTCTGTGTATCTTCTTTTTTCACCACCACATGCATGAGTATCAGTGCTCTCTTGATTCAAGGAGTGAAAGAATTGTGTTGTGTGTATTGTGACAAATATAAAACTGGAATTAAGTAATAATCAAAATAAAATAAAAACTTAAAGGAATAACAGTTTTTTGGAGAGCAAACCAAAGGTTTTGGGAAAGTGTTTTTTTTTTTTTTTTAGTACAGAGGTGATTACTGTATCCTCTCAGAGACTTCTCCATACTTTTAAACAAATTTTTATTGTGATCTGAATATATTGTTTGGGAAAGATGCTTGCCTGTCAGACATGGAGTCTGAAGTCTGGTGTTTGTATAAAAGGTACAGCATGTATAAGCTCTCGGACACTGCCCTAGCAACGTACCTCAGCACTGACTGAGAGGGGACCACTTCTAGGAATAAAAGGTAGAGGTTAAAATGAGGCGGGAACATGAGGGAGTGCTGATTGCGCCATCTCACTGACTGGTGAATCGAGGACTTGCCATCCATGGGAATCTAAAATAGGAGCAGCAGAAGGACATGACACCTGGCTTTGGAGTTTCTGGGGCTTCTAGTCTCCCCCCCCCCCAATACGTGGAACAACATCTAAGGAGAGAAGATATGTTCCTTAATAGCCTCTTTTACATGAAGATGAGTCCTCTTAACAGCATTGCCTTCTCTCCAGGGAAAGAGGGGAATCTCAGTGAAAGCTTCAAAGGGATAGAAGAAGAGATACTATTTCAGGACCCCTCAACCCAGAGGAAAAAATCCCAGGAGCAACAAAATGGCCCTGTCTGGTCCCTTGGGTGACAAGGTGTAAGGAGGAAGCTTGATTAGTTGAGCCGAGTATTCATTGAGATAGGAGGGTGATAACCTTGTTGGGACACAAAGGCCCATTGGTAGTTCAGCATTGTTTCAGCAACTCTTGCCAGGCCTGACATACTCTCTACACTTAACACACTGTTGTCATAATCTGAAGGGGAGAGAGCCGCGTTATTCTTCAGCGAAGGAGTCAGAGAAACGAAGTGCTTTGAGCTCGGTGTGTTGGGTCCTGGCTAAAGAATGGGCCAGCCATGCTGGGAGAAAACCTTCTTTGAACAAAAGAGTCGTTTGTTGAGTTTTAGTCTTAGAAAAATATTTTTACTGTTGTTCGTAGCCATTTCTATTCTTATTCCTTTTCTTGGTATCACTTAAACCTATGTCCCTTTTTTAATAAACTTGTTTTACTTTTACCATTATCCAACTCAGTGTTTTGACTGAAGTGGAGCATTAAGTTAATAAGTTAACTAAGTTTAGTTAATAAGCTTTGCTGGACTGTCTTTAAAGGAGCAGTGAAATAAGATTTTTGTGGGTGCTACAGTAAGAGGTGCTTAGCACTGCAGAGAAAGACATTTTGTAGGGAGAACTTGGGGATGGAAGGGTTGTTGAGGTCCTGCTGCAAAGAGCAAACTGTGTGGTGGAAGCTATGGTGTGACCTGCCTGCTTGTATGGTGGCTGTTGATGTCAGAGCTGTCAGACGCAGAAGCGTAGCATTGCATTAAGGCACTCAGGGCTGGTCTACACTTGGGGGGAATCGATCTAAGATATGCAACTTCAGCTACGCTATTTGCGTAGCTGAAGCCGAAGTATCTTAGTTCGACTTACCTGGCCATCCTCACGGCAGCAAGTCGACTGCCGCGGCTCCCCCGTCGACTCCGCTTACTCCTCCTGCTGAGGTGGAGTATGGGCGTCGATTCGGGGATCGATTTATCGCGTTTAGATGAGACACGATAAATCGATCCCTGATAGATCGATTACTACTACGATCCAGCGGGTAGTGTAGATGTGGCCTCAGAATTGCAAGGCAGCTGTCAATTGACCTACTTACTGGCCTGGGCAAACCAAGAGTGTCACATTGCTCTGGTTGTATTTGGTGGGGTGTGCTGGATTTGGTAGCTTTGGTGTATGTTGGTTGATAGTTTAATAAAACACAACTTTCCTCTGGCAAGTTTAAAATCTTCCATAATGCAAGGAATTGTATCAAGAGTTTCAAAAATTTTCTGAGGAAGGACCCTAAGCCCTCTCTTCTTATTTGTTGTTTTTACATCAATACAGGTTCTCTGTCTTGATCTAGTCATCTCATAAATGATGCTATTCATAGGAATGGGGGAGGGTAGCACCAGAGAGGTACCCTCCCCTACAGCTCCACACACTCACACTGACTCACTCACTTGTGCTTGAGTGGGCTGGGGGCCTACTTTTGCACTTGAATACCTTTTAGACACCTCCTTGCCTCTCAACCCCATTCTCTTCCCCCTACTGCATCCTGTCACCAGAAGATGATGCAATATCACATCATTTCATGACTTTGCAATGCATCACAGCAACTACAATAATTGAATGAAATACATATCACAGCTATTTAGGGCCCAGATTTGCACCAAAAAAAAAGGGTCTTTTAAATCCATATTTAGGCACCTAAATAATTTTCTGAGTTTTTCAGAAGCACTGAGCACCCTGCAACTCTCATTGACTGAGACATTTTGCAAACCCTCTATACCTCCCAATCCTGGTCTGTCAGTATGTTCAACTGGTCAGACAACCCAGTTGTTAAAATGCCAGCGGTTGCCTGAAGTTCTGCTATCGCTGGTTCAGCTGCAATATCATGTAGACAGCAGTGAGAAATTTTATAGGAAAGAAACTAGTATAAACAGAGACTATTTATAGCAGAACTTCCCCAGCTTTGAACAAAAACTTACTATAAATACCTGGAAAAGTTTCTTTTTATCACAGGCCTAGCATCAGATCCTGAAAGACTTCCGTTTTTTGTTGTTTGTCCTGTTCTAAGGCACAATTTTATTGAAATTCTATGATATTTTGCTTAGCACATCATGTCCAAACAAGGTGAAAAATGGCAGTCAGGAAAAAATATACAGTATGCACAACAAAACAATTTCTATAATATTCTATGTGTTCAATAGGAAAAGGATAAGTATAAATCATAATCATGGAGGCATGGAATTTAAGGCCAGAAGAGACCATCAGATCATCTAGTCTGACTTCCAGCATGCCACAGGCCATCAAACCTCACCCACTTATTCCTGCATTGAATCCAATAGCCTGGATTAAAGTATTTATAACCCTCAGGAGACTAAACCTATTGTGCACCATAGGCAGAGAACAGAAGGGACCGAGATGCACCAATGCTGGAGGCTCCTGCAATTGCAGGCAATTGTTTTCATGAGACTGACCCAGATGATCATAGCAAGCGACCCATGTCCCGGGCTGCAGAGAAATGTGAAAAACCCCAAGGTCCCTGCTAATCTGATCTGGAGGAAAATTCCTTCCTGACTCCAAAAATAACAATCACTTTGACAATGAGAATGTGAGCAAGACTCACCAACAGAGCATCAGAGAAAGAGAGAATTCTCTGTACCACCTTAAAGCACCAGCCCAGCCCATCTGGTATTCGAGCCACAGCTGTGGCTATCTCTGGTGCTTCAGAGGAAGGCAGAAGGGGAACAAAAACCCAAACAGATTACACATAAATTACACATAAATGAACCTGTTCCCACTGAAGTGAATGGCAAAACTCTCATTGACCCATTGAAAAGTAGGAGCAAGCCCATCGACAAGTAATTTAGTTTGTTTGCATTTTATCATCATTGGAGACTACTTTGCAACATATATTTATAATAAATGTAGAAACCTTTCACTTTGAAGTGATAGAAATCACATACTGATATAAATAAAAATTAAGGTAAAATTTCTGTTTTGTGCACCAAAAATGGAAAGTTTAATGCAGTACTTAACTTGGGGAAGGAAAAGAGGGTTCATGTTATGGTCTGGATGCCTTACTTTGTGTGCCAGTGACTTTGGGAGGATGAGAATCATGGCCATATACTCTTTAAATGGCATAACTTATTCTGTAAAGTGTTTGCACACAAAAGTCAATTGTCATTTGACTGAGTGTTTTGATAGATCACCCTTAGGATATTGGTCATGCTTAACTGGCCATTTTTCTTTCATTAGATATGACAGTTTGCATTACTGTATTTGCCAAGAATATATTAACCTACAGTAGAATGGTATGTAATAGTGGGGCTATACCTATACAACTTATGAATTTTGATTGATATTGTTAAGTTGTATTATGAAAATCTGCTGTGTCTTGAGTGCTTATATGTATGCACCAGACGGATACAATACAAAGGTGCTTAGGACTTAAAGACCTGATTGAGGTGCAAACATCTGGGACAGTGGATGAGCTGTATCCTTAGAAAACAGTTTTAGCTGACTCCAGAAAGGAGGCGGGAAGGTAGGAGCAATGGAAAGTTACCAGGAGTAGAACAAAAGAGACCAGGTGACCAGGAGGAGTTTTAAATAAAGAAATACACAGGAATAGGGGGAGTGAGGCAGAAAGCGGAAGGGTGGGGCAGGAGTGAGCAATGTCACAGAATCATGAGGAAGAGACCAGCTAGTATGCAGCAACTTGCATTTGGTGGGAACTTTGCCTGCCTTGATCCAGCTGTTTTCCCAAGGACTCACATTGTTTTGTATGATCCATACTCTCCCGTGCATGACACAATTAAGTATAAAAGAAC